ACATGCTCTTCAATTAGTTTTACTCATCAAGATGTCATGTATCCTCTGCGTTCACATTCAGAAGCGTCACTGTCTGTACCATGGATACGAACTAATTATGGTGCGTTCACCTTCATTTATATTGCTACTAAAACGTGGAACTGTCTACCACCCTGCCTAACTGCCATGTCATCACTCTATATCTTTAAACAAGCCATACGTGCCCACATACTATCTGCATGATTCATCGACCATTTCTATGCCCCTCCCCCTCCCCCCCCCCCCCTCCGATTCATTCTTCTCTCCTAGGCAAACCTTTCACACAATCATACACACACAAACACACACTGATATTGTCCTTTTTTCTCGACTTTCTAGCTTTTCTTCTTTCTATTTTCACTTGGTTTAATATTTTGATTATGTAGATACCACAATTGTGTTTCGTTTTTTTATTTTTTTTTATTTTTTATATAATGGTGTTAACTTGATCGCTGACTAACCCTTTATTACCAAGGGGTCCCTTCAACAGTTTTCTTTTGAAAACTTTGGGACCCCCGTCTGAATAAGTGTAACTATCTAACATCTTGTGTACAAATAAAAACACATTTTGACTTGACTTGACTTGACTTGGATACTATTCCTATTTCTCGGGCTGAAAAAGGTCGCGTTAGTTTTTTTTTTCTTTTTTATAAGAAGATTATTTGAACTAGCCCAGGTTTCTAGACTTCTTATGGTTTTATCAGCAGCAGAACACATTTCATTGCAATTTTTAGCTGAAAAAAGAGGCTGGTCTCATCAGCGTAAATAAAAAAAAAACGTTTTCTGCTATGGCAATAATATCATTGAATCATATATTATCACGTTCATTTAAATTTGCAAAACCTGTACAGATACTTGGTATAATTTTTACTGATACACATTATTGGAGTCAACATGTGGTGCATAATCGCCAGAAAGTGTATAGGGCTATTGAAATTATATGCGAAGGTCATTGGGAATGTCCTGTGCGAGTAAAATTGCTTCTATATTATTCTCTGGTGTGCACACACTACGTGCATTGTCAACTTGTCAACTCAGAGGCCACTTCGTATTGTAACAAACATTCCATACGTCTATTCATAAGGATAAATTTTGAACTGTATAAACTTATACCAATCTTTTTCTTGCCCATTATCACTTGATATAGGTATATGTAATGGAACTAAAACAAAATCTTTGTAATGTTGTGTTTGGCGAGAAGCCCAACATCTCGACATGGCGACAGTTGGTGTGTTAGTACTCCGCGCACAAATTATGGTTTTGTAGATTTAATATGTACTTTGCCATTCCTTCTAAATGAGCTTCTAAATATAAATGCTGATGTTACTACATTATTGATATCTATGCTATGCAACGTAAAGAGTGAAACGTAGTGAAACTACATCATCCTGTTGTAAGGGGTGACTTGTTTTCTGATAACATGTTTTTCTCTCATCTTTTATCATTGGAGTAGTTGCTGGTATTGCCTTTTTAATAAATACGCTATATATTCAAGTACTAATTTTTCGTGTTCTTAATATTTTTGCTTTGTGCAGTATTTCCGATTGTTTTCTGCCATCGAGCAAGAGAGGTAAGGCGCCGTGAAGCTGCAAATAAAGCAACTTTTTGCCTTGCCTTCGTCCGTTTGTGTGACATCCCACAGTAAATTAAAATATTATTTATTTACTAATTTGTGCATTGTTTAACATTAATTTTGCTTTCTTCATTCACTTCGCTTATTCCGTTCACTTTGCTTATTCCCTTCACTTTTTTATTCCCTTCACTTTGCTCATTCCCTTCACTTTGCTCATTCACTCCGCTTTGCTCGTTCACTCCCCTGTACTCACTTACTTGCCTTATTAGCTCATTCACTTAATTTCTCTCCATTCACTTCACTTTCTCATTCATTTCACTTTTTGATTCACTTCACTTTGCTCATCTATTTCACTTTCCTTATTTACTTCACTTTGCTCCGTCACTTCACTTTCTTCATTCACTTCGCTTTTCTTATTCAATCAACTTCTCTAATTCATTCACTCCAGTCATTTAATCACTTCATTCATTCACACATTCTCTCCATTCGCTATATTCATTATGTTTACTTACTCCATTCAGCCTATTGATACTATTCACTCACTGCACTTACTCAATTAGCTATATTCACTCTATTCACTCACTCAATTCACTATACTCTATTCACCCACTTCATTCACTCCCTCATTAACTTCATTTATCGTAAAAAGGCAACAGATATTAGCTTCGCCATTGTTTTTTGTTAATTTGGGTTTTATGAGGACGGTGTGACGTTATTAATTTTGTAAAATGATTTCAAAGCCTTTTAGACACAATATGATGTCTGAATATGAGAGTGAGAATAGAGAAACCGCGTAACATGCCGCCAGGATGGTGATATGATAGGCCAGTGTCTGCATGCCTTTCTCAGTTTAATAATCAGCGACTTTAGAAGAAAAACAAAACACCATGTTTGCTTGCAGCGGCTTGCTTAATTCGATAAATACCCCCTACATGAAACAATTGGTTTTTATTTATTTATACTTATTAATATAATTATCGACATCGCCCTTACTAGGACATTATTGTAGAAGATGACAACACACAAATTTATGCAAGATACAAAACTTACATTACAAAAAACTTCGATGATGCGGTAGGATTTGAAATCAAAATGGCATTACAGCAACTTTATCGAAAAAAAAAAACAGATACGAGCACAACGTATTAACATATGTCAATCTAGCAATGCAATAACTAGTTGAACGGTAAGCTTTGCAGTTCTGAAAATTACGAGGAACGAGGAACAGAGAGAAGTTCAGCTGGAAAGTTATTCAACTCACGCACTTTTTTTGGGGGAAAAAAGTGTACTTTATGATATATGGTTTGTACTGGGTGACACATAGGTTGATCCTTACATGTATTGCATTTTATTGATGACATTTTTGCCATTAAAAATAAATCGACAACAATCTAAGATATTTCCTCTGGTTTCCAAGCAAGGGCCACCCCAACTTTGCACATACAGCAGGAGAGGGTATAGAGAAATCATAGTTGCCTGACAAACCGCGCTGCTGGTTCCAGTGTGCGTTCAAGCTAATCTACACTTAACTCTGTATGAAAGTCTCAGGTGGGACGCACGTATTCTAAAATCAAATACACGTTCGTCATATATAATTATTTTCTTAGCTGTACAGGTGCCTGCCTAAAATTAAGTCTTTAAAAACCTTGAAGTGCGGCTATGTAAAAAATAAAGAGGTTAGCCTTACAATTGTGCCTGGTCAGTATTAATAATCAAAAACACATAAATATATCATCGTTAATTTTGAAATTGCCCAAGTCAGCAACAACTTTAAAAAAAAATCGGGGATGTTTGCATTTCATTTAGCGACCAGATAAGTGTTTCACTTTGTGGCACACCCTTGATTGCAATTAAATACATTTTTACTTAGCATGTTTCATTTGCAGCCAGCTCCTTAACGGGAGTGCTTGGAACGATCAAGCTAGTGATATCCCTGTTTTTAGTGTTTCTTGGTCTGTGTCTTATACGGCACGTATTCCTCGATAATTCAAGCTTGTAAAATGGTGCGAATGAGTGATTCCATGTCAGTTCATGCAATGATGGCTCAGGTCATAATTTATATATTTTTGTTAAAACTATATATATAAAATCTATTTTTCTGTGAGGAACATTCAGCTATACAGGGACGCCGTAACATTTTTATTCGCTAAGATATAAAATAGAGAAGCTCGAGGCGTGGAAATTTAAAAGATTTCACGATGCTAATTTGCACAGTCGTCATTTCCTCGTCGAAGCTTTCACGTCGCCATAAATTTTTAATAAATTTTGCAGAAAAATATACAACACATACACAAAAAATTAAATATATCAATAAAATATTTCTATGCAAGCAAAAACAAAACTCAAACATTGCATCAAAACGCGTTTTAGAAACATAATCACAAATTTTTTTGCAAATAAACCATCTTCCATAATACTTCACAAAACATATCAAAATGCGCGTCTTTAAATCTTCCTTACGAAAATGTAAAAGTTATATGCCCACCCGTAATTGTCTTTTTGTTATTAACGCGGAAATGCAGGTGATTTTTCCAAATGTGGCAAAATTGGGCGTCGATACTTACAAAAAAAAAAAAAAAAAAAAGCATCATCTTTTATTTTTTTAACTCCCTTTGGCATTTTGCAGTGATTTGAACTAACCTGTGGTGGCAAAACATTGAGTAACATATCAGCTCTGAACGGGAAAAGCTATGACGAACCTTCACTCGGAGCGAGCCGACGTCTTCGTCATAGCGGTTTTGCTGCACAGCACAAAACGTTTTCAGCGTTATATATGCAGGCATGCATTTTATATTTTGCAAATTATTTTTTTTTAAAGGGGTGAAGATAACTGACCCGAAAGGGACTTTGCGCTGGAATACCATTAATTAGCTTACAATTAAGAAAAACAGCCCCACTCTCCAAATTCGCTAATTGTACATACATAAGCTTAACCGTAATACACTAGAACTTAATGATATTTTTCAATAGTGAAATCTATTAAACGTTTTGATTGGTCAGCTCAGCTTCTTGTCAGATAAGTAATGACTCCAAGGTAACACTTGGCATCTCTTTTGGATTGAACCACTAAGCTACTCTTAGTTTGCGTTGTAGACGGGAAGTTTGACACAAAAAAAAATGCAAAACTTTATAAGACGCTAATGTAATATTATTTTCGGGCAAATACAGTAAAAAAATGTGTCCCCGAGTAGCATCTTCCGGTAACTTAAGAAATTCTCCCTTCCTTAAAAAACTGGTTATGCTAAAAACTGATACCCGAGATGTATTAATTTCCTAAACCAAATAAATATGCTAATGTTTAATTCGAATTTGCTTAAGCCAGCAGGAACTATTTCAAGATTCTTTTTAACGGATGTTTGTACTCTCTTCAGCAACATGTCGCGTGTTTGAAACTATGGCAGACCACTCATTAAAACTGAATGTCATTTTATTTAGTGTTTTTTATGTACCCATATTCTTGGCTGTGATGCCTGGAATGACCGCTCTTATGAGATCCTCGTTTTTAGCTTGATTTGGTTTTCCTCTTATACGGTATGCATTTTCCAAGAATGCAAGCCTGCAAGAGAGTAAAAAGATTATCGTAAAGGTTTTGTACTGAGTAACTAAAGTATAGACATGACTGACTAATGAACCCGGTCTATCTTTTCTTCAATCTGAATTTAACTGCGTGCTGAAATGGCGTTACTTGTGGAATATAAAGCTTAATACTAACAAATGTAGAGTGATGAGGGCTTTTTCGGGCTGACAATGATTTTTCGTGTTAGTACCTAAAATACAGTTTCTTACAGCAAATATTATCCTCCAAATGCTTGGGCATTCATATTTCATATATTCTATCTTGGTAAGTGTTTAAACCCTTCCACACTGAGGCAATAGTTGGACAACTCTATCTGGCAACGCGAGGAAAACGTGTTTCCGTGACCCTGTCACATTGCGGCAACAACAGTCTGGAAACATGCTGGCGTCGCCCGGCAAGCGTGTTGGCCGATTTGTTGCCCGATAACCTTGCCACAACGCGCTGACGGCGGGGCAAACACGGGTAGCACTAGGCCACCTTGATTGTTTACCTTTGTTCGTGTGCGGCGCAGCGTCGCTGGAAATGTGATTCTACGAAGTACTGGTGTCTTCGAGGGGCCGGAAATTACAACGGGACGGTATTAGCCAGTGACTGTGATTGGAAAACTTGAAACGGCGAGTATTTTCCTCCCTTTATTTTATCGAAGTGTGCTTCATTCACTGACAAAGTCGATAGCCCAAACTGAGGAAATTGAGATCGCTGATATATATTCGGGCTTCACGCCGCCGTATGATGTGTTTCTGTACGGTTCTTTCTTCCATGCAATTCCTATTTTTACAGTAAAACTTAGTACCAGCAGTACTCTCAAAAGTCTTTTGTAGTGTGTTGTGGAGCTGAACTGACAGTGATTAAAAGCTGCGACACCGACACGACCGGCCTTCATAACAACCGGAGGAATGTTATGTTATGTTATGTTATGAATGTTATGTTTCAAAATTGTCTATATGTCTACCGCCTGCTATGTGATCGTAACATTCCCCAAAACGTCCTGGGGATTTTCGAATCAATCCAGGTGTCTGGTAGTGGATCTTTCTAAGTTCCAAGCACGATTAATCACGACCAGAGCGGTCGTTTTAATGCTTCAATTGTTTTAATCTTTGCTTTCCTGGATTAAGTTTCTTATAAATTATCAGCGGGTGAGTAGGCATGCCAGCTTATTACACTAGTAGTAATGTGAGCTGGTCTCTCCGCAGTTCGAATTTTAACACCAGGCTGAACGTTCACGACCATGGTTGTGACCTTTCCGTAATTACGTAATAAAAACATTCACCAAATGATTTTAGCTGCACGCTATCCTTAACTATTGTTAAATAACGTTTTCCAAGCATTTGATTGAGTAAGATCTTAAAAAAATGCGTAGATATGGAACTAGCTCTGTCATCAAAGCTACCTGTGTTGTCGTGTTGCCTACCCGAAATTAGCTCAGCCAGCGATCGGGGCAATACACGTTGTCTAACCGTCCAACACAAGTTGCTGCTGTTTTTTCTGCCGGAAGTTGTCATGCGGAGGCAACATTTTTGTTTTCTTCCATGTTGTGCTGCTGTTGCCGCAATTTTACAGGGTTGTCGGACAACGTGGGGAGCGAGCAACAAGCCTCAGTGTGACCGGGCCTTTAAAGAGACACTGACACCCCTCAAAATAGTTTTTAATTTTTTGACAGGCGATTTAATATGATGTCAGAAGACTACCCAATAAATATTTTGCTACAGAGTCATGTATATGTTTAATAAAGGCAAGTAACGCAACTGCTCGAAACCGAAACCAAAACCTGCTCACGGAGGTCGGAGAAATATAGAGGAGTGAGCGCCGTAAGTCGCGTGGCTACACCCGACCGCGATTTTTCATTTTTGGCCGCGCGCAGCAGACGACATTTTAGCATTGCGGGTACCGTTTACCGTGCGATTGCTTTGCAGTTCTGCTCGTTGTTCTGCACTTCAAAATGACTAGTTTTGTACATTGAAGAGTTAGAAATGAGCAGTGAGTGCCCGTGGTGAATGCCCGAGATCGGCTCCCAAAAGAATGCCCCCAAGATGTTGCGTGAAGAGCTACCTCACAGGTTTTGGATTCAAAAGTGACATTGTGCGAAGAGTCTGCACAACTTTCCGCAAGATCAACGGGATTGGGACCAATGGCCGGCTGCGATTCCGGCAGAACAGTTACGGGCACCCCCGAGAGCAGACGCTACCCGCTTTGTATACTCCTTACATTTTGTAGAAAGTGACTACATTGAGTTCGCAGGTGTCAAAAAGGGAGTTACATACCTTTTATTTAAGCGATCTTTCGTCTGCAACTTTTTTTTTTAGTAATAATCGTAAAAGGAAAACAAATGCAAGTATGAAAAAACGTAAAAAAAAAAAAAAAGAGAGAGAACAAAACAGTATTCTTACGCTCTGGATCGAACCTGCGACTGCTGCATGGAAAACGGAGACGTTTCCACTGAGGTACTCTACATTTCTGAATACACGTTTTAACAAATCGTTTTATACAAGACCCAGTAGGGGTCAGCTGCCCGAGCGATGTCTTCGGCCTCGAAAACGGGCGACGACTCGGCGACGTCTTTGTGCGAATCGGCTTGACTGTCGAGCGTGTTCTCTTTCGAAGGAAGACATATTTGCCGGAACCGCATACGACGGTTCTGAAGTACAAGTCCCACTCCCGTCGTCTGCCGCCATAGCCGTCCAGCCCGCGATACGACGCCATGTTGAGAATTATGCAGTGAACGCACAGAATGCTTCCGGTTCTCTGCGCAATTTTTTTTTTCACAATCAATGTATTTCAGGTTTTTTAGAAGCCACGAAAAAGGATTTCATCTCGTTTTTTTTATATTTTTAATATTGAGTGTGTGCGTTCATTGACCCACGACGTTGACTAAATTTGGTGGTTGTGTCTAAACCTTAGAGAACGGCCTGTGACCACGGAGAAGAGAGTGAGCGCGACTCAAGGTGGCCAGTTCTGGATCGGCGGTTTTGGGGCTAAAAGAAACCGAATTTCGAGCCGCATGTCTTGTTCTGGGTAGTTGGACTCTCGTATGTCATGTAGAAATAAAAACCTCGGCGAGCATAAATTCCCTGTCAGTGTCCCTCTTTAATACATAACAAACAATCCCAATCGCATACCACGAGCGATGAAACGGAATTTTCCGTCCGTTCCTATGTATATGAAACTACTTGTCCACATATCCATCTTTTACTTCATACTAAAAAACTACTCTTTAAATTAGGATTACGCTAATTTTATAGTACCAAACGCAATTCTAGCAATTTAAGAGAGTTCTGTTTGTTTCATATCACGCTGCCAACTGCTTTTTAACCGCATCAACAATGCTGAAGTGGATATATTTAGCGACTCTCGGGTGTTCGCGATGAAAATGAAAATGAAAGTGCTTGTCGCCAATTTGTAACGTTTGTGTATTTTTGCCATGTCTCTGTTATTTTAATTCCTCATTTATTATGTGTACCAAAGAAAAGAGCTGTTGGTTGTTTTTGGGCACTTGAAAATAAATATTTATTTATTTATTTATTTATAGTTACTATCATGTCGCTGCTAGCGTAACATTCATATAATTCAGCTTGGACCGGCTTAAACTTGCATTATATAGATTACTTTCTCGTTTGTGTTAGTGTCACGATATCTATTTCTTAGTTTAAAAGCAACTTATATCTCCCTTGTACACATGTTTGGATCACCAACTACAAGCAATTCATTTTATCGTTCCATCATCTGAAAGTGCAACTTTTCCAAATGAACCATATTTAAGATTCCGTGGTAACTTTATCTGACGGTGTCGCCTTTGAAACTGCCTTAGCTATGCCAGCATTTCGTCAGATTAAAATTACGCCCAGATAGTGATTAGGAGAAGAGAGCACAGAGCTTCGACTTCCAACTGATGTATTGTTAAATAAGGAGGAGGACGGGGCATCAAAAATGAAACACACGCACCATAAAAAAAGAAAGAGAAACCAGTGATACACGACTGATTTCTATTAGAAAGGGAAGAGAAAGAAGAGAACAAAAAACTCAAACAGGAACTGAATTAAATACAAGAAAAATATTTAAAGAAAGCAGAAAAAAATTAATGAAAACAGAAAAAAATAAAGACCAATGAAAAATATAATAAGAAGCAAATGCTAGACCGTCCAAAATGAATCGTGTTAGGCGTTGGCTACAACGCTTAAATCGTTGTCCAAATAATATCATCTTACGAATGAGCTCAATTTTAGAAACAGCTAATTATTTGTATTCTTAGACTTTTTGAAATGATATATCTGTAAACCACTCCCCTTTCCGATTTCCTCGTCTCTTAGAGTGAATTTAAAATAAATCTATAAATGAATAAATAAAGCAAACAGTCAAATAAATAAAGAAGTAAACATATAAAATATTTCCGCGGTTTCGAGTCCATCGCCCTGCATCATACCCTCGGGGACTTTTGGAAATGCATAATAAGCGTCGATGTTAAATTAGCAGCTGATCAGCTGCATTTAAGTATAAATAGTGTGATGAGAGCGCAATGGACTGGAACGCCTCCCTTCAAATTCATGAAGCCAACTCTCACTTTCTTTCCGTCATTTGAGCAAGGTGTACCATCGACTACACCGAGTTTCCACCAGCTATGTCGTGTGAGGCATTGAACCTTGCAATCAAGAACGCCTTTAGTTCCGTACGTCTGTAGGAAAAGAAGAATATCCGTAATTAAACACTGGAGTAAATTTGGGTTTCCTACCGCAGAAATATTACTAAATAACGCAACGACCAAACGTGCAACGGGCTCATTTTTTAGAGTGCAGATCTTAGGCACCCGTTTCCGCGTATGGGGGCGTCGGCGTCGGAGTCGGCGTCAGCGAAACCGCCTTTCTAAATTTAGCGGGAAATTGAAATTGCGTTAAGGTCACATGACGTCAATTTTCCCGCTAAATCGAGCGGAGAAAGTGAATCTGTTTATAGGCGACGTGACACGAAGTCATGTGACGTTATTTTCCCCGCTAAATTTAGCGAGGAAATCGAATCGGTGTTGAGGTCACGTTGCGCCAATTTTCCAGCCTCATTTAGCGGGGAAACTGTGAGAGGAGGGGAGGGTATGGAGGAGGAGGAGGGAAGAGGAGAAAGAGGAAAGGAGGAGGAGGAGGAGAGGAAGAGGGAAGGAGGGAGAGAGGAGGACAGGAGGATGATGAGAAGAGAGGAGGTGGAAGGGAGAGGAGGAGGAAAAAGAGGAGAGAAGGAGGAAGTGGAGGAGGCGGACCCCCATACCCTCCCCTCCTCGTCCTCAAGAGCTGCGCTCTAATTTCGCATTACAGAGATATTTAAACGTCTTTCACTTTTTATGTACGTTTCACACAGAACTGAGGAGGAAAGTGCAAGTTTGGAAAACATTCAAGTAGACGTATAGCTAGAATCATGTCTGCTCGCAATCTCTTTTATTTTATTTGGTGGTTGTTTTCCATGAGTTTCTTATTCCCCTCCAATTCGACGTATTTCAGTGTATATTTGTTTGTGTCGGAAATTCGTGTTCATCGGGGCTTATGCCGACGAGCACGACATGGGCGTGAGATTACTCAACCTCCGAGGAGAGCGAACCTGACCCAAATGTCTAAAAATCAACCCTGTATCAATAATCGCAGCAAACGAGACGAGGCAATACCATCTAGAAAGCAGGGCCGGTCGCCGCCCGGTTATCGCTCGTCTTCCTCGTAACAATATTTACATCTTAAGGAATGAGAAATGCGGGGGATGAATACGCACACCGTATTTCATATCCGCGTTATGGAGACTTCTCTAAATTTAGGTAAAGTTTCTTGGCTCTGCACTTTGGTTTTCGGTGGTTTCCACAACAATATGCAGGAACGCAATCTCAATACTCGTAGTTGTTTCCGGCATTAAGGCTACTGAATGATATCGCACTTCGCTTCACCTTGCGTCCGGACGCAGCGGATCGAGGCTACGGTCCGTCAGGTCCAATCCAAAGCCGCATGAGGTTCCCGTAACCTTCGAGGGGAAGCGCTGTAACGCGGGGGGAAGCGTAGTCGCCTTTTACGTTCCCAGAGCTGAATTGGCTGGGATGGCTTCAAGCGTCTGCTGCGGTCGGACGTAAGGTGAAAGGGAGCAGAGAGGCCACGATGTGCCATGTGGTGTAATAATATTGTACTCACGAGATTCGCTCTTACGTCAAGCTCGTACATATACACCCTCTTACAGTAGTTGTCGAGTGATGTTTTTCCTCCAGGAAGGTAGCTCGATTTAGGTATCCTCTTTTTCGGGTTTCGTTCCCTCAGGCATCGAAACTCAGGCCGGCTGAAAAAAAAAAAAAAAAAATACTTTGAAGCAAGGAACTTTTTTTAGCGGAGCCCCTTTATCGCCATTGTACGGCCATCGGACCGTCCATCTTTCCATGCAATTCCCCCTAGATTTAGCGTGGAAATTGACGTCATTGGACCGACATATAGGTTGTGCGGAGGTAAACAGAAACATGTAATATGCAAACTTCCTGAGGGATCGTGTCTCTGAATTCCGGTTAGCTATTGTTCCTGCTTGTTTTTAAGCACCCATAATGCCTACTTTACGAGTTTTACCGCCGAGATTTAACTGCGGTACCTCTTGAAATTTACTTACACGGGATCGACATGCTTTCCTGATCCATTGGGTGAAAAGAAAGAGCCCTTGTTCCTTGAAAAAATGACAAATCTTCGTACCCTCCCCTCCCTTCCTCCTCCTGCGTACTGTTCCATATTCCTCCTCTGTACCCTCTCCTCTTCCTTTTAAATACCCTCCCCTCCTCCCACAGTTTACGGGCTAGATTGAGCTGGAAAATTGACGCCATGTGAACTCAACACCAATGCAATTTCCCGCTAAATTTAGCGTGGCGGTTACACCGACGGCGACGCAGCTCAACGCAAAAACGGGCGCCTAAAAGCTGCACCCTAAAATATTTTTAGTTAGTATACCATGCTTTGCCTACAAACTGAAGAAACATCGCAAATCGGTTAAGGTAATTTTTAAGAGATAATGGTACACTGCTTACTTGTAGAGGTTCCTGATTTCCCTCTGGCAGCAGTAAGAAAATGCATACTGGCGCTCGTCCTTCATCTTGTAACTCATGAGATATCCGTCTTCCCAAGGACAGTCTGAAGATCCGATATGTCCTTTTACCCATGTACCGGCTTCATCCCCGTCATGGTTGCAACCAAGGCTACGACAAACGAAGTAACAATTAAATTGTGGACACCAGTACGTTATGAATTTATAAAATTATAATTAAAAAAAAAAAGCAGCGCAAAGACGATGACAAAGCAAAAGGTAACCGACAGGACACAGCGCTGACTCTCAATTTAAGCTTTATTTATGTCAGCATCAAGTATAAATAGCAAACATGCCACATTGAATAAATCAAGAAAAAACAAGAAATGCATATCACGTGTTCGATACAACACCGTCAATGCTTTGCCATATATGTGTCCAGTCTTTTACTTCGTCCTCGTCTTTGCGCTGTTTTGTTTTTAAATATGCCGGCATACCAACTAGGCTAATCTTCTATCTTAATGAATTATAAAATTACCGTAGCGGGTGCATGCGACAAACAACACAATGAAACAATTCAACAAATCTCAAGAGGCTTCAAGACTAAAATGTTATGGTTTTAATTTTTGTTCTGCTTTCCTAAGTCCTAAGTGATTCCTTAAAACCATGTAATCATTATAAAAAACATAGATGATGCTACAGACGCATGCATAGCTACATTTTTGCCGAAGATGACGGCGTTAGGACAACTATTTTTTACTGTAGTCACTGACAAAGTGAGAACTGCAGGGAGGAGCTTCAATTGTCCCGTCACCAGCGGGAGCGGCCTACCTTGGACAAACCTTCAGCGTCCGGTGCCATAGCCTCCTCTATACTCACAAAGCCTGGGACTTCGACGACGGAGCCATAGAGTGCCCAGTCGCAGATTCGGAGCGGAAGGACCCTGTAGCACAGTGCATAAGGAGCCATTTCTTTGCTGAACCCAGACGTCAGCGCAAAGCGTTTGTAGAGGCGAGGATCCGAAATATATTTGTTCTCTCGGGAGAAGTGTGTTTCGGCGTCTCGCCGCAGCGGGGCGCCAGTCACGTGGCTCTCCTCTCATCCGTTGTCTGCGTTCCACCTTTTCCTTTTCGGCGGCCGCTTGTCGCGGCGATCTGACAGGCTTTGTCAGTATATAGGAGGCTATGGTCGTGCACCTTGAGCGTGCACGCTGTGCCAAAACGCGACGTAAAGGAAACACCACGCACTGGAGGCCGCGGGTGCTCGAAGGACATGCCCTGCCATTCTCACTCTCTCAGCAACTATGCGCCGAAAAACGGAGAGAGAGAGAGGAGAAGATGGAGAGCGTGCGGGGACATCACAACGCCGAGCTCTGGTTGATTTGATTAATGGGTAGACCTAGGGTGCCTTAATTCCCTTCTGCTTAGGGCGATGCAAACCTTCGAACTACCCGATGACAACAGCATGCGCTAAAAAAAATACAAAAAAAATCGTCGAAAACTAAAAAGTCGCTGTAGCACAGTCAGCGCCAAGAGCGCGTGCAGGGACGCGCTCTTTTCCGCACTTCAAAACGAAACAAAAATAAAATAAACATAAGCGTTAGAAACAAAAAGGCCAGATGTCATCACCCTAAGCGAAGCGCCCATGAAGGCAGGCTATGTAAACCTAACCGCCGAATTCAGAAACCTCACTCAAACTACACTCAAACTAAAGGGCCCCTCCACTTCCTCGAGGAAGGCGCGAGGGCCGGCACTGGCCAATCGCGACGGCGGATCCGTCCTCGCGATTGGACAGCGCCGGCCTCGCGCCTTTCTCGAGGAAGTGAAGGGGCCCTTTAGTTTGAGTGTAGTTTGAGTGAGGTTTCTGAATTCGGCGGTAAAGCTATCTATCTGCCTTTGTCCCCACTTCACTGGTCGAACGCGCCGCCAGAGCGCGGAACGCCGGCGTCCGGTGTTTTTGTTTTTATATTCGAATGCGTTAGAACTTGGAAGGCTTGCGTCCGGCATTCGGACCTCGCATTCGAACGCGTTTTATGAGTGCGGTGGAGAGAGAGAATGCTAGCTTTTGGCCTACCCACTAATCATCCGAACCATAGCGCGGCGTGCTGACGTCCTCGCGTCCTCTCGTCTCCCCTTGTTTTCAGATTCTCGGTGCACCGTGAATATATATTTGGATACACGAAATTACAAATATAGGCCTTGGCGGGATAATTTTCCTGCCGGCTACTCGATTTGTAATGTAATACAAAGTGTTCAATACAAAGGGAAGACTAACGGCACACTGTGCGGGTAAAAACGGTGTGTTAAGGGTTGTGCGTTAAAAGTATGCGAAATTGTGCGTTAATAACTAGAATACACGTAATATTCCACCAGTGGTTTATACACTGAAAGAAACTGGGTGAGCGGTGGGACGGATGGCGCATGGGTTCGTCATAGCACCGCTCTCCGGTTGGAATGAGGAATGGGTAGATGTACAGCGACCCCTTACTTTCACCCATCTCTACACACTTTTCGAAAGCAAACGCCGAGCAGCGGACGTCAGTGCTCGGCTCTCGAACATGCCCAACAGTTAAAAAAGGCTGATTGACATCTTGCTTTCCGTCTACCCATTTGTCATTCTAACCGTGTCTCGATGTTTTGACGTCCCTACGCACCATCACCTGCGCCGTTTTCCCAATTTTTACCAGTATATAAACCACTGAGGTATAGTTATTGTGTAATTATTAACGCACAATGCAACACTAGTGCTTGCGCGTTCCCAAGACGGTTATTAGTAGCCTCTCATATATATACAATGAAAATATTATCAACGCCAGAGAGATGATTTCATATCTTTGGTGTGAACCGATAAACCCCCCTTCCCCCCCTCCCCCCCCCCCCCCCCTAAAAAAAAGTAACCCCTACACCCCTTTTTATCAAATTAAAGAAAATTCTATGAACCTCGAATTGGAGCCGTCCTAGAATAAAATAATTAAAAACTTCGCGCAAAGAAAATATTTTCGCAGCGTTATGTTGTGTTTAATCGAGACACAAAACGCACTACCTTTCCTCAAGGCTGCTTGATTTTTCGCAAACCTTAGCACTTTCAAGATTCTTCCCACATCGGTACCGGGAAGTTTTTTTTAGTTATTGGGGTTACGCGCGTGTTCACTGGAGGATATGGAGCTCAATCCGTCTCTTCTATCTTATTTAACATAAACCCCGATAAATGAGGACTTTTTCTTCAATGCCAAAAAATACCGCAACAAAATACAAAACTCACGATAAAAGAATAAACGAAAACACATCTGAATTTTAAGATAAATATAATCCGAAAAAAGGAAACCGTAGTCATACACATCATATCATCAATTCATTAAACGTTTGCTCGATAGACATTTAAATATGAAAGTTGTAGCTTACTTATGAGCCAACTCATGGGAGAAAACGTAGGCTCCGTAGAAACTTGTCGGCCTGTCTTCGCACATCCCTACTTTCCAATCGGAGCACGCTGTTCCTACGTAAGCATATCCTGCAAGATATCGCCGATTGTTCAAAAACACTGAGTAATGCCCCAAAAAAAGTTTTTCTTCAATTAGAGCGCTGCAGGTGTTACCACTGGTAGAGTATTTTTGAATCAAATAAAGAGAAACGTTTGAAAGTTTAAATTCAGTTAATTACTTGTCCGGTGTTCGTATTGTCAAATTAGAATCGCGAAATTGCATAGACGACGTTGAAATCGAGGCATCCACATTAGGCCAGAATGTATAAGCAAACATCAGTGTTTTTAGTGTAAATTGATTATATTCTTCTATCAATAGCATGCAAGGATAACATAAACAAGCTTAGATGATTGAATTATCTATGACAATGACAAAAATTTAATTTTGCTACTTGAATTGTAGCTTATAAGAATTCACCTAAATTTATAGGAAAGTCACGTTATCCTTGATTCAATATTTTGATGTGGCAAATATGATATAATTACTAAATATTTATTGTAACTTAACAACAATTATTATAGGAATTGATTTCTCAAGGTTGGTAATATTACGTAGATGTAATGCATTGCAAAACGACAAACTCACCTCCAGTCCACGACTGCAGTTGGGTACCTACCCATTCAGACATATTTTTTCTGTAAACAAATACAAAAAATAAACCGAATCGTGATTTCAAAGAGAAAGTGTGCATTCCCAGAATATGTTTTCGCGGCACTCTTTGGAGCCTGTGGCGGACTTCAAAGTTATTTTTCTTTTTCTTTTTTCTTGTTTTGTATTCAAAGTTGAGAAAAAAACATATATTTTAATTTCATAAAAAATTATGAACAACAAAACAAACATGTAGTGCTCAGCTAACATTGCTGGAGTTTTGCAAAAAACAGGAAGCCAGAAACAAATGCAAAAAGAGACTAGTGTAAATATATGATTGTTAAACTGATACATTAGTACAAATTATAAATTAGGACACTTTAAAACAAGGCACTGTAACCTGTCAGAGGGGAGATCACACCAGTCAATTACGGTCTGAAGATAAAATAGCTGATAAAACATTTTTTGAGTCCGCCGATCTGAGATACATTGCAGGATTGGTTTAATCGTGAAGATGCCCTGTTCGGAATATTTGGGAATAAGTCACAAAGACATGGGTAATGATAAGTATTACAGAATAAAGCTAAACGTAATATCTTACGACGTGCGATTAAAGTTGGAATATTGAAGTGGCGTTCTAGAGCGGAGACAGTGGCAAGTCATCCTGCGTGATCCTAAAAGAGCTCAATATGATTTATGAGATAAGTTTGGCGAGGGTTCCAAATTGCATCTTCATATTCTAGTTTCGATCGAATGTGTGTTTCCTTGGTGGGAAGATGCGCTTTAAAGTTCCCTTTTTTGGCATGCCAGGGTGCGCGAAGCCTCTGCTCTGACGGTTTTGATGTGGCTCTTGCAGGTTGTATAGTTAGTGGTATTAATGCCACGATATTTATAAAAGGAGACAAAGTTGATGAGTTCAAATCCAAGAGAATCTGATAAACAGGATGTCGGTTTCTCAGAGTGAAGCGAACAACTTTTTATTTAGACACAGTTGATAACATTAGCCATTTAAAGCACCAGGTGAGGATTTGATCTAGGCTACTTTGGAGATGCAGGTGGTGCTAATTGAACTAATATTCGCGGTATCAAATTAAATTATCAAATATTATTCGCATTGTAGAAATAATGAAGATGGGTGAATGATGGATAAATATCGGATATATTAAAGGACAGCATTATTCCTTGTGGGACACAAGAAGTAGCAAAGTAAAGTTAAATGTGGGGTCGTTCGCCGCAGTGAATTGTATGTGAGGAAAAACGTTAAGCTTGAGGAAGAAAGCGAGAAAGGAAGGACGAGCACTTTAATGTAGTAGATAAGGAGTGATTGTGCTCCTGCCGACTCATTTTCTCGCAGTTTCGCTCCAGCCACCTGTCTCGCCGATGCTGCGACATTTGCTGCTCCTGTTTTGACGCTAATTCTTTTTTGTTTTGTTTCTGGCACAAGATCCTCGAGGAAACTTTTATTTTCAGCTTGCGCACGCTAACCATTTTCATTCGCGACAATATTGTTAAAGCAGCGTCTCGTATACATCCCCACAGCGCTACTTAAAAGCTGGCATAATTTGACTTTGTACCCACTTTGCGGGCAATTTATGGTACTGCAGAATATCGTGAACCGTATGGTGCACCGAGCCATGTCTGACATTGAAGTCTTTAGACATTTCATATTTAAAAACAATGCTTTTTTTTTTTGTATAAGCCGGTCAACTTCTGATATTGAGTGCGTCGCCGCCGAAGTCAGTGCAAGGCAGGAGCGAGGTGCGTCAGTCAGACTTGACATAAACTCTTTGAACCTTTTTGTGCCACTCAAACGCCTGTCGAGTTGATATACTGGAGCCTTCACAACGCTTCATCATCCTGCGATAGATATTCGCGAACTTTTCACCCTCTGCGCTCCAAAACAGGATTAAGGAGCGCTGCTCCTTTCTAGTGCACCTCCTCAAAGGTGTGGCTATTTTAAGAGTGCTGTGGCCACGTGACAATTTGCAGCACGCCGCTGGACCGGCGTACATAGCTTACTTAGTGGTGGGCCAAATGATAGTTGAAGCACAGTAGCCTTTTACAAGATTTATAATTTTTATAATTAAACCCCGGTTACTTTTTGACTGCCTTGTATATGAGAGTGGAAACAGACATTTCACGAGCAAAAAGAAATAGCTTCTTGAGAACTGTTGCAGAATTAATCAGCGACAATTCATTGAAGATATTTCTTCACAATGACCCTTATATGCAGGGTCGTTAAGAATTGTATTATTACCACTAAAAATTAATTCTTTTCGTACTTACGCCGTCACCAGAAACACAATATCGGAAGTTTTATAAACGCTTTTTGTCTTCATGTATTGGTTGAATTTATCCAGCGTTTCTTTGAATAAAATATTCCGGTACTGGCTGTGTTTTGGTACATTGACAATGTACGGTTCATCTTGTGGCTGTTGACGGGATGGGGAGAACGAATAATAAGATATCACCATATTGTGATTATAGATTGGGTACTGGTTGCTCTAAAGCTTTACATATATAAAATAACTTACACTTTTGTTCATGGTTATACCACTAATCCTAAGCTGTACCTCGGGAAATACCAGGCTCTTGTACCTAAGGTTCGCCTGAAAATAAATAATAAAATGTAGAGGGAATATTATGTTTTGTTTTGTTTTATTGGCTCAAACAATAATTCATTCCTTATCAACTTCCAGACGCTACCTTCGTGTCTTGTATTTTTTTAATACAGCGTTCAGAACTTAAGAATTGCAGCAGAAGCTCACTCCGAAATTTTCAAAAAATACTGCAAGATGTCTCTATACTATGCTCATTTTGAACTAAACATGTGCTTTTGTAGTCAAAGAAATAAGGGACATATGTGGGAGAGAATTTAATCATATTGATACAAGCTAAAACAATAAGCTAAGGCCGAATGTATGTCAGAGCATGGAGCATTGACCAAAGTGTGGTATTTCGGGGCAGGGGAGCTTGTTTAATTATCTTTGTAATTGCTTATGTAACACCGTTGTTTGTGCCGATTTTTTTTTCCTCTGAGTGTGGGATTTATGGTTATCGCTTTTTATAAAGTTTCCACAATGAACTTATTTTCCACCCTTGAGTTAATCAACACAATATTTTATTAAAATGTTCTTTTTTTCCCCAAGGAAAAAAACTGAGGTTTACTTGTGTATTTCCGAATACCTGGCTGCCTCTGTACTGGCAAAAACGGGCTATTGACGTCAAATGCTGTACCCAAGAGCAGAAGCTCCCTGCTCCAAGGCGTTGTAGTGATAGCGAGGGTCCGTGGTTTTGGGTATTGTGTCTGGGTTAGGCTATGTGCGGCATGCAATGGAAAAAGGGGGGGGGGGGAATCCGTGATGTACTGCGGGGTGCAATACCACCACGGAGAAATTCAGCAGGGTGACATCTTATTGGTTTCAGACCTAGAAGTCTATCCGACAGAAATGGGTCCGAGCAGTCCAACTCAAACGGTGGCTTTTAGCGTTCGCGTCGCGCTTGAAAACAGATTGCACCGCACTAGCAAGCAAAACATTCCCTACCATTCTGCTTCAGAAGCGGCACCTGGGTTTGTTTGTTGGCTAACCGCGAAGGCAGCCGCTACGGGTGTACCCCGGAGGCGATGCCATTGGATCCTATTCGAACAGCGAATTATCTTAAATCTCGCGCGGAAAAGCTTTAAGCATTTCATGGTCATTGCTTGACTCAGACAAGCTTGATGAATCGCAGTCTTTTATTTCTCACGGACAATAGTGACGGTTTGCTTCTGACGCTGGCTGAAATTGGCTCAATCTGCTCATTATCTGATGCTTATACCTGTATAACATCTGACGCCACGACAAGATAGCCGACCAGTAAAGTTGCAAGCTAGTTCCGGTATCGGTTTCATCGTTTCTCTATTTTAAGATTTTTTTTTTTTTTTTTAAGTTTTGAGGAAAGTTGGTTGCTGCTTTGGATCTACTTTCCGTGGTCTTTCGGAACATATAATTATTTGGAAATGTTCAAATCAACGCCGCAGCTCCATTTTCTTTAAAAAAAGCCCGGAGACGTTAAGGTAGAACCAAAATTGACCTTTCTTGTCGAGCCTCTGTGCGTCTTGACACTAATTCGCTGGAAAAAGTGCCCATATTAGACTTCATTGCTGGTAGTTTGGCTGTCATCTGACAGCTTTAGGCCTAAAACGCAAAACAAGTGGAAGAACTAGGCTTCACGTTTTGTTGTTTAGTTTTTTATATGGCAGCATTGGGCCAAAATTGCCTCAGAAGTGCAAGATTTGAGCTTCACTGCTGGTTCTTCGGTTCATACAGTGCATACTTGTCTCCAGTATGGTACTTTGACAATTATTCGGCGAGCCAGAGAAAAGTCACAAAACCACTAACGAAAATTACTCTGTCGCTAATATCGCCTTGGAGAAAACTCGTATTAGGCCCAAGTTAGGTCTCTAGGATGGAAAGGTTTGTATCACGCTAGCCGTTTTTTGTCGTTCTACGTGGGAGAATATACTGTGAGTGGCAACCGGGAAAATGTTAAAATAAATAAAATAAAAGAAGCATTAATTGACAGCCTAATAACTCACATTTTTAATGACTCAATTACGCAGCCAAACCAAAACGCTTGGGATTTACCAAAACTTTGTTTTAGGATAGATTCATTCAATTTACAAATCACACAGATATATAAATATATATAAATATATATATATATATATATATATATATATACCGAGAAATGTATTTAATCCTTGACATTGCTTGACGGACATTGTCACGCTGGTTTGCTTCACCGAGCTTTTTATAAAATACTTCAGTAATGAGCTTTCTCAAGGGAAGAAGTAAATCTAGAGAAATCGTGGTTCTTAGGGAAGCTGTTACGCATATAGCCAAAATAGCAAACAAATGGTAGAGGAATCTAGCCAAATGGACAGGTTCTTACCGCATTCACAAGAACTGCGAAGTAGCTTATGACGTCTGCCACTATGTATTTAAATCCTTTGGAAAATTCACTATCAGCCACAACGTGGACTTCAGGATAAATTTTCATGGGTATCTCGTACACTGGAACATACATGCATAAGTGTAATTGAGGTGAGGTAGGCAAAGAAATGAAAACCCAAACGCGTCAATTTGCTGCCGCGTTTGCCTTGAAGATTGAGTTTAATTGAAACTAAAAGAACATGATAAAAAATATCACCTTAGAAAAAGACAATTTGTGAGAGCGGATGTTATTTAAATAAAATAATGGTTTATTGCGATACTCTTTTCTATGGTTCCTTGGTCAACATTGCAGTTTATGCATCCCTTAAATTGATGATGGTTTGGAAGCTGATACAGGTCATAAAAAGGAACAAACAAAAATACCATCCTTAACCGCTGTAGCGAATGCCGTCAAAATGGAAGACATTATATTTTCAATGGGTGGTAATGAACCGTTTTGAACTGATTCATCGCAAGCAATTGTACTTTCATTCTGGTAAAGGAGGTTGATAACTATACTAAAAAAAACGTTATGTTTAGTTAATTTGGTTAAATATCGACGTACAATATATTACAGGCGGGAATAAACTAGCCATTAAATATTCAAAGTGTCATATTTTCTGTAAAACGTACTCTCATATGTCGTGGCTCCAGCCCTTGACTCGACGATGTTCTTTGTTTTGTTTGGAGAACCTGTAGAATTACACGATTAAGTCAGAATAAAGATAAACAGGATAATTTAAGAACTCAAATAAAAAATAAAGTGTTTTGAAGAGGTGGACGAATATTAAACAATTTGAGTTCGAGTCGAATAATATATATGTAGTATTCATATTTCATTCGTATACTAAGTCTTCAGTACTTTTTTCAAATTTTCAACAGGCTAAAAATATCTTAAATTAACCGTATATTCGAGCACGCACTCACAAATACTAGTTTTGGTTTCGGTTTCGGTGACCAAGGCTCATCGACAGCGACATAACAGCACAATGGCTTCGTGTCACGGCAGTCCTATGCGGACCGTAAGTTCGGCTGCTTCTTGCACAGGCGTTGCGACCGTGTCAAAACGCCGAGCTTTGATTGGCTGATTGAACAAAAAATAGGGGGTAGACCTCAAGGCATCTAGCATTTGAGGTCTAACACAATACTTTCAATCGCAGTCAATCAGGGCTCGGCGTCGTTCTGGTGTTACCGTAACTTCTGCGCAAGAAGCAGAAAACTCGCTCTCCGCACTGGCGATGCTGTAATCGTCAAACTATAGTTTTCGTTACTCCCTGTATATTTAACCCGGGATTCCACTGGTCTAATAACGAAGCAATTGTGCGTCCAGATTTTCCACACTTCACCCGCACGTGCAATGGCGGATGGACACAGGCAGTGATCGCTTTAGTTATCTCGATATGGCGTAACTTTGCCTCAAATACATGGCAATGTCTGCCACTTCAGTGGGAGATCTGTGACTGAAAATGATTCTGCCCAAGAAGGAACGCCCCGTACCTAACCCCGTCCGAGAGTTGAATTTTCTGCGCGACAAGTTGTGATGATTTCTCAGTTACCAGATCTTTTGTGTTTATGGTATGCTAGTAGTATGGTTCTAATATCGTGAACACAGTTCTGGTGTTGTGATATGTGAAAATTAACTTATGTTATAAATCAGTGCACCCTCATTCGACTATTTACTCGTCGATTTAATATATGAAGCTGACTATTCGTATTCTATTCTTATTCAAAACAACTGATATTCGCACACCCCTTGTACACTGCCCTGGAGTTTCCTAGTGATGTTACCGATAAATATCTGGTTGGCATGTTTCGAAGTCAAATATTTTGATAAATGCGCTATTAATAACGGCACTCATCACGCTTCAGAAGGTTGAACGAGAAATTAATTATTTCCCGTCTGCAATGCGTGACTTTAAACAAATCCAATTGGTGACATAAAGGAACACAGGTAGAAACTAGAAGCAACACAAACGAGGTAAGCTTAACTGCTTTAGACGGCAGCTTCTTTCCTTTTTTTTTTATAAAGTGTCAAATATTGGTCTAGGTTTTCTTCGTTGGTTGTCTCGAGCCATCAGTACTTTGGTCAAGCCTGTTCAAATGAAACGCTCTTTTTCTGTTTGACCACCAGATGCAGATCATTGTGTTTAAATAATTTTAGGTTGCCAACTTTTGAAAGCAAGCTAGGCAGTGTCTCGCTTTGGGGGTTTCATTTTGAATGCACGTTTAGTAGTGTTAAACCAGAAGAGTTATTTAAAGGCGCCTAGTAATACTCTGAGGTTTCTTATAAGTAGAAGTGCAATAACACGCTTTATAAATTGTACGAAAATTGAGTTTGCGAACAAAAGCCAAGTTTCACACTTTAAGAAGGAACGAGCATAAACGCCAGAGCAATATTATATTTTGATTGTGTAATATCTTTTACCTTACTTTTTACATTGATATGATACAAAAACACAGTAGATAAACTCCTTACCGTAGTCATGTGGCATATGTTCCCTTGCTTCGGGTACATCAATTTCAAACAACCTGTGCGCTTTCAGGCCTTCACTGTTTCGTGCAGCCAGAGGCAAAGGTTTAACGCGGAGCCTTTCTCCAAGTATTCCTTCCTGTATTAACACGCATTAAATGGTTTAGAATTAATTTAGGCAACTATAGATGAGAGTCAGTAGCTGAGAAATTAATGCGGTGTGGCTAACCTTTCAAATTCAGTCATTTTCAAGGCCCTTTCGGGACCTGTGATGGGTTGTAATAACGTGTTATGATTGCTAACATTTCCGACGCTCACGCAGTTGAAACTGTCATCTTACTCTACACCCTATCAATTAAGTTTGTTCATATAGGCAGGATGATGGTGGTGTCGTACCTATTTTGTGCTTTCAATTAAAGTTTATATAATGTAGCAAGCCATGTTCACACCATAAAACGAACCTGACTTTTGCGAGAAACTTCCTTTTTTTCGTTAAAAAATATCGTGTTTCAGAGAAAGTGAAACAACAATTTTCCTAATTGCGCGTAGGTAAAAGTTTGAGGGCGAAAGGAATAAAAAATACAACTTTTTACAACTTCAATATTTTTATGCACAAAGCACTTCAACTTATCTTCATGAAGTTGTTGGATTTATTTTTCATTATACAGAAGTCTGTCTGGTTGGGGGAAGGAATGATTAAAATAATACCACCAACCAATTCCTCAATCAGGGGCCCAACGTTTCGAAGACTGTTTAGCTACTTTTTAGGGGCGACTATGAAGGTCCTTTGCTTCATAGTCGCCTCTGAAGAAGAAGAGAAACAGGCTTTGAAAGTTGGGCCCCTAATTTAGGGATTGGTTGATTGTCGTATTTTAATAATACGATTTATTTTAGTTAAACTTATAATTCAAGTGAATTAAATTGAGAAACTGGGCCTTAAGCGGAGTCTTTTCATAGTTAGGTATTTTTCGGTGATTTTTAACACACCTTAAAATTAATGTGTTTAAGCTGAAACTTTTTACACTGTGTTTCATGCTTTTTTTACTTAAAAAAAGAAGCTAGGGCTTAACTATTGTAAGTGTTCTTTGTATTGCGCCCAGAAGTTTTTATATATCGTAAAAGTCAAAACTTTGGAAGATTTGAGCAACGATTTTGTAGTAGCCGGCGCCATTTCAAGGCTGCCAAATTCTTCATAGCCATCTATTTTCGTCTTCTGAGCGGCAATTAAAAAATAATCATCCTCGATTTGCTCCAAACTTCTCTGGATGAACCCTTAAATAAAAGTAATTTAAAATCCATGAAGAACATCTTTGATTTCATAGATTTAAATTAAAACAATAAAAGTTTCGTCATGTGTCTGTTGCAGTGAATTATCTTTGCAGCGTTTCTGTTTGAACAACTAGTGGTACTGGCGCACGGCATCCACAGTGACCTTACTTGGCCGTATTATCTCCCGGCCAGCATGAAGCATTATACAAAAAGAAACTGTGTTCTTCTTTTATAAGTGATTCGGCAGATAATGAGTATGAAAACTGAACTCTTCGGCGTATTCGCTACTTTGCATGCCTTATGCGGCGTGCTTTATGCATAAACGTGTTCACGTTCTAGAAACTTGTATCTATAGAGCGCAAGCTCTTTTGCTTCCGCTTCGGGGTTGAGCAGCGTCTCCGTCACCGTCGCCGTCGCCGTCACCGTCGCCGTCGCCGTCACTGTCGCCGTCGCCGTCGCCGTCGCCGTCAGCGTCGGCGGAACCGCGCCGGCGTTGCCTTATCGGAACAATGCACCCGGGCGGAACCGCGGGTGGCATTATGGGAACATTTCTCCGCTAAATTGAGCTAAAAACTCTACGCTAAATTTCCCGCAAAATTTTCCGGGGAACTTTTCCCGCTAAATTTAGGTGAAAAAAGTTTCTTGAAATTTTCCCGCTAGGTTTAGAGGGAAATTTCCCCGCTAACTTTAGCGGAGAAATTTGCGGTAAATTTTCAGCTCGTTTTTCTAGGAAATAGTTTGCTCAATTTTCCGCTAAATTTAGCGCGAAATTTAGCGAACACATCCCGCGAATTGGGAGCGGAGAAGGAAAGGAGGGTACGAAGGGGAGGAGGGGCATACCGTCCCCTTGGTCCCCTTCCTTCCTCCTCATCAAGAAATGTGCTCTAATTTCATATTACAGAAAATTGTAAACAACTTTAATTTATTATTCCTATGATCGTAAAATTTGCGTCTATGCGAAGTTTGAAGAGTTGTTACTTCTCCTCGGAAAAGCGATTTCCTAAAAAAAAAAGTTTCCTACAAAAGTAAGGTTCATTCCGTCGTACTGACATGTTTCGTTACCTCAAATAAAAATTTAATTTAATGGAAAAATAGGCATGACCGCTCTTATCCTCATCGTCTTTATCTGTACAGAGCCAATTAGGTTTGAATTATGTTTGTATTAAATAATGAATGGAGTTTCTTGTTTCGTTGAACATAGCTACCGAATTGTGATTAAGTTCTATGAAAACAACTTTGATGGTAACGTTTGGGGTTGTACATGTATGCTATTTACTTAAATGTTTATACAGCCTATGAGCTCAACTATTTATGGACAAGGATAGAAGTATAAAAGTTAGAGGGCACACATGTGAAAATAGTATTGCTTCATCGAATTTCAATTTAAAAAAGACTACATAATTTATGCACAAAAAGTTCATATTCGAGTGAAACATGAGAAACAACGAAACCTATTTTTAGTAACAATAAAAGTTTGTTTTTCATTGATTTTGAATGCATGCATTTCAAACCTGGGAAAAACTAGCTCCCTCGCATTATTAGTTCAACCTTCAAACATAAGCACATGACATTTGCAGTACGTACCACTTCAACTCCATCATCGTCAGTTACTTTTACGGAAGCCATGTGAGATGGATCGTGATAGATGTCCCGTTCAGCATCTTCGGCTCTCACCTGAAAGCATTTACCCCAAATACTTAGATTCGTGTCCAACTGCCTTTCAAACTCATTTTTTTAAAAGCCTAAGCGAAAAAAAAAGTTTTTTGTTTAGGCACCTTTCAGGTATGGTTATTTGCTGATGAGTCTGAGACACAGGAAGCTTTATAATTCTGCTTCATCCAAGTTTAGTTAACTGTTATAGGGCCTTCATATTATAAACAAGCACGCTGTGTGGGGATAAACTTTTCATTGCTTCCATGACGCGACTTTCTTCAAGATGTTTAAAACGGTCACCTAATTCTTTGTTCTTGATTTCTTACGTAATAGCCTAGTGGCTGTGTAGAAAAAATCATTATCAACATTTAAAAGATGAAGCAAGAAAAGAGTGCTATACCGTGGGGTAAAATTACTGCGCTATATAAAATATATAAGGTCCTGCAATTGCCAAAGGCATGTTGGTGAAAGCTGACTTTTTTTTTTACAGGCGGTGCCTACAAAGACGCACGATATTTTAAGAACTACGGGTTAAGGTATTTCTTAAAGAATTATGGGTAAATACCGCACTGCGGTCTATGAGACGAGCACTGTGCATACCACAAAAAATATTCTACTAGAAAATGAAGTCTTAGACGTCATTCAGAACACGAGGTGAGCACGGGAAACCTAATTTTTGGTGCCACGTGATCGGCATAATTATTTTTTCGAGAAATATTTTTTCTTAGGTGTCTTCATTCGATGAGCTATCACTGTTAAACGCAGACACTAGTTCTAATGTAATACATTTGCGGCTACTTACCGATCTCGCAAAAGAATGTGCGTGGTTAGTTGAATCGCATAGTCCGTGTCTCACCTAACACATCAGCTTACCTATTTGCTTTTGCACTGTCTCTAAAATGCATAGCCTGCTGTCCGCCTCACAGGGAGTGCACATCAGCACACGTAGTGATTTAGTGCAGTTAATCATTGTTTTATATTTTTATTTGGGGAGCATAATTACAAGACAAAACTAAAACATTTTATATACGTTGCGAGCGTGCCTATCAACCCCAAACTATAGGAAATGAGGGTTCTGAAAAACACAATGCAATGGTGTTTTTTGATATCTGGTTGTGGGCATCCCAGTAATTTTCGTAGGCTTTAAGTCCGGACGCCGCCAACGCTACAAGGTGATGGGACCAATCAGGCAACGTCAAAAACGCAAGGCACTACTTCTTTTTTGTTTATGATTGGATGAGCAATGATAAAACACGTCCCGAAACATGACGAACACCATGATGGGGCGCTTTTGACGCTCTCAGATTTGTCCTCTCAGCTCGTAGTGTCGGCTGTGTCTGGACTTCAGGTAAAACCATGTATGGCGTTATCAACTCCAGTAGTAGAACTAACGGGTTTTGATTCGTATTATGAATGCGCTCAGAACGTTTGAGGCATTCAGCAGAAAATATTATTCTAATTTGTTCTACCGTAAGCCTGAATCTTGTCAACAGCCAGAAGAAATACAAATGCACACACAGAGACTAGGTGCGGAAACTCACGGTACATGTGCCGTGCTCAATTAGCTTGCCCGGTGATAGCAGGCGTGCAGAAAGACGAGGTACGCCTTGGCGTTGCGCTTTCTCACTGCTAGATGGCCGCCAATGACTAGTAGCATTGGCTGTGCTCACACGTACGATGGACTAAAGTATGGAATACCCGCATAATTTATTTGGCTGCAACAGGTACTACTAGGCTACGTAAAAATGAATGAATATAGCACCTATTCTCATATTTACATTGAGAGGTGTCTGGGAACACATCTTTATGTTCTGTGTCTGCCAAGCATCTCGAACCACTCTTATGCTATTTTTTACTCTAGATATTTGGGGAGTCTAATGAAGCGACCTCCAATGTCACAATAGCAAGGAGTTTTCGCAAAACGTTTTTTTGCTCCTCGGCTACTCTCTTCGCAAGGAAGACGCCACTAGAGCGCATGCTCACCATTGGCTTACTCTACAGAGTTTCGGTTCTGGCGGCGTTGAGGGTCGGCGGAAAGTAAATACGAAAGACCCCTAAAATAAGAAAGTTCTGGTAGATCCTTGCGGTACCTCCAACAACCATACGCAATAACGATATGATACATGCGCAAAGACGTCGACGAAGTATCGGGAAAAGTTAGTGGAGTTACCAGAGCGATCTACTGAAACTTCCTATTAAGTTTTCTGTACTGTACGATGACACACTCATACTCACATAGTAATCAATAGGTTCATTGTTCTCCGTCGTGCTGAACAAAAAGTCGTCGGCGAAGACCTTACTCTTTTGCAGCGTCAACGTCAGGCCATCGTTGATTTTGAGCATCCTCTCTCCAGTTGCCGATCTGCTTTCAAGCATCCTGGGGTACACTATCCCATGGTCTGTAACGCAAACGTTTGAGGTTAACCCAAGCGGAGTCAGGATTAATTGCATGTTTGAGCCGTTTTAAGAGCGAATTATCTAGCACCTTTCTCGGCGATGCAGAACGAAAACAGCGCTAAAGCCCACAACTTGATACTGAGCCACGGCATCTCTGGTTTAGAGGACGGCCGGTCTTCCAATCTGATGTCCAACTAGTTACTGCAGGTTAGTGAAAACCGCACTCTTTATACCATTCAAGCGTGCCTTTCGTGCGTAATTCTCTTGCCGTTAACGCGTTAGTTATGACGTATGACCGTTAAAGGTGACCGCCAAACAAAAAGATCTCGACAGACGCTTTCAATTGTCGTAATTTTCCACCTGGTTCTTAGACAATTGCTGGGTATGCGTGACCTGACATTAAACAGGTTCCTGAGAAGTTCAAATGAATGCAAGGCAACCTTAGCTTCAACACGTGCGTAATTCAAACCAGCAACTAGAACAGCATGATTTTAGTTAATTGCGGGAACTATACTTACAATGTTGATTGTCGCAAACAATTTTTACAAAACCACTTTGAAGTTCCCGAGTCTTTAATTACGGCAAGAAACTAGTACGAATTTATATTGAGCTTGTGCTCAAAAATATTACGTAACCTGCCTAATTACCAAAACAAAGCAGTCTCTAAAAAGTTTGTGTTCTGTCAAATAAAACTGGGCTGTAAATATCAGAGACTGAAGAAAGTTCTGTTAAAATTAAGTGATAATAATTATGTTTTCCAAGTTTGTCTGTGTTGCTGCTAGATATAGTACAATTCTTCCCGAAAGCAGTAAATTACCAATATATGGTACGATCGTTAAATAATTACATGTTGTCGCCTTGTTTTTAGTCGCAAAATTAAATCTTAACAAATGACTCTTACTTCAAACGCATTGCATGCCCCCCATCTCAAACCTCCATTGTTTTATCCACAGATGCATTTGTATCAAAATATAAAATCATCAACACATCTCGGTAGTATACAACCCTCTGACTCGGCCATTTGATTTTTATGACCACCCAAACTAAGTACCGGTTTGAGAAAAATATCAGGGTTAACGAAAAAAAAAAAAAAAACTGGCCGTGATCATTATCTACAAATTCCTATGTTGTATGCAAAAGAAGTATGTAAGAAGCGATCGATTATATTTCTGTGGAATATATAAAATAATTCTTTCAGGGAGCGGAGAGCATATTATTTTAAATGCCGTCAGCCTCCCCTTCAACTTCACCTTTCACATAAGAGATTATCAACATGAGGTAACTATATTGGGCGATATACGACGTACACTCCCCTTACCAATTTTGTTTCCTTGTTCAAAACAAAACTGTGCACTACGACATGTTACTTCTTTTCGAGATGTTTAGCATCCGCTATCGATCAAAACTTGCGTTTTCGATAGCGTTATCGATCGCGTTAACGACCGTGTATTCGATCACATTATTGATACCCGTTAGCTATAAAAAAAATGTACCTTCGGGTTTGTTGAAGTTCACTGTAACAGACGCCCGTGTGTGCCAAATCTGCCAAGAACCAGAATTCTTGGGAAACTTAAAAAACAAAACAGAGAAAGAGAGAGAGAGAATAAACTTTTATTGAAGGACCATGGTCCTGTGCTCGACGAGTTACCACTGGTCCCCCAGTACACCACGGACACGCTGTGCCTGCAGGGTCAGTAGTGTGGCGACGAGGTAATATTGGGGGGCGAACTAGCCCACCCAGTCAGGGGGTCGGGATTGGGGTGGGGTAGTTAAGAGGAGGGAATTAAGTGAGGATAGGGTATGGCGACAACACCAGAGCATGTACTCGTTAGAGGGGTATTCCTGGCAGGGGGCTCGTGGAGGAGATCCAGGGAGACCTTTCATGTGATGCGTAAAGTGTTGTGCGAGAGGGGAGGAGGTTTGGAGCCTGCAAAGACTGGAGGCATTATGTCTGTAGAGAAAGGCCGGGGGGTCGTGAACCTACGTCATTCAGTGTCTGCGGTCACGTAGAAGGGTTGTTCGTGCCTTTGTAGGGTTTTGCGGTGTTGACGGGGATCATATTCGTCTGGCCAAACTTCTGAATGGCCCGAAGACGGCTCGTCGTGGTTTAGTGCGTTCGCGAGTAAGTACTAACCCGCGGAGCGTACAATATAAGACTGGCAGGAGATGAATGCTGGGTATTTTACGTCGTGCACGTTACCGATAAAAAAATTCGCTTTTTTATGCGGAAAGGCGATTTTGTCACTAAGTAATGTATGCCAATTGTCAATAAAATTTTCAGTTGCGAGTAGCGCTCGGTGCTGTCTTGTCTTCATTGTGCCTGTTTTTCTGAAGAGCTTTCATCTGAGTGAACATGGAACAACTTGCCCAATTAACCATTTCGTTGAGTGCGTCGTTTGGCTTTTCTCTCCATGGTAATGAAACCGGCAGTGGTGACATGCTCAGTAATGCGATATGCATGGACGAAGGGGCGCTAGCGTTCGGGTGAGTAGCAGCTTCTGCATTATAACTTTCCATGGTTTAAAACATAACCACCTACTACAATGTTTGCTCAGAGGAAAGAGAAGTCTACAATCTTATATTATGCCTTCGATATCCATTAAATATTGTATAAATAACGATCACGCTTTATTACAAACCTTCAAACACTCCACTTAATGTTTTTTTTTTGCTGTGCATGGTTTTATTTCAATGTAAATCTTCAAACAATAGTAGCTTAACGTATGTGCATAATATTTCTGTTGAATTCTTTTCTTAGATATCTGTGGCTGTTTCTTAAGTCCACAGGGCCCAGAATCCCGTCAGGTCAGCACCTTTTTTTTACTTTTGTTGCTGGCTCTTTTCATTTTATCTATATTCAAAGGAGCGCAGATAAAAACGAAGTATTTAATTTTATATATAACTTGATTTTAATACGGATCTTAGTGTTTTAACTTCAAAATAAGAATTCGCAATTCTTTGTTCAACGTCAATTTTTTTTTCTTAGTTCAAAATATGGCTTGCTACAAGATGTACCATATATGTCAAATCATAATATTCTAAGTGCATTGTACTTTCTCGATATAAGTGACAAGAAATATATGTATTGGATTAGGGTGTGTAAAGCACGCCCCGCAGAAATTCTACATCAGAACTTCCCCTCATTCAAATCAACGAGAATAGAATGAAAAGACTTTCGGCTGATCGCAACTATTCGGCTTGACATATTATGGCGGAGAAATGTTGGCATAAAGATGCATAGCGACCTTACTGTAATGAAATTACAGCAAGTGAAATACATTTGCTACAACGATAAAGTACTTAGCGACCCCTTTTGTGACTCGTATGTTCGTAAAGCAATGAACTACACCAAAGCAATTATTTCTAGAGTATTACCTAGTACTTTCGTAATTCCTTTTGTCCATGTTCAGTTGCGGAATATGTAGACTATTTACATAGGTACACGGCCATCATGACAAAGTACAACTGTGATTGGCGTAACAAACATATCGTCCGCTTGAACACTGCATTGCGTGTTAGGTGTGTGTGGAGTGTGGTCCGAGCCGGTCTTGCGCGCTCTTATCTTTTTTTAAGATTACGATGAAGTCAGACGGGGAACACTCCATGATGCAACACTCTTACTAATTCTAAAGTATTTTGCGAGAGAGACTGTCATGAAAGTGACGAAAAACTCGACTTTCGAAGCACCCGCGTGGAATGGCCTTCAAGTCGTGTTCTTGGAAGCAATAGAAACACAATGTGCTTAGGTCGAAAAAAATATATTGTGACCTTCTCTGTGTGACTAATTCGTTGGAACACATCGGTTCAAGCCACTCCAGATAGTAAGAAGACAAGGTAGAATGAGGGCGGAACGTTGTCATGGTCGGTATAGTCTCCAAAATGACGACGGCGCACCGACATCACGGTCAACGCATTCAAAAGCCTCAACGCCGGTTCAGTTACTTGGCTTTGGTTGTGACAGAGTGCGTTGGTCTGACGTATGATCGCTTCTGACCAAACAGCGCAGTGGCAGCATCCACCAGGTGGTTCCGGAACACTAGCGAATTGCTTTATTTACTGACTGTTTTTAAGCATAATTCTCACACCAAGAGGTGGAAAACATTTTCAAAATCTTGTAAAGAACTAGAGCTTGGCATCAACTAAAATATTTCCACCAGATAAATGGCCCCCCTTTTAATTGTCTAATTAATCGATCAATCGGCTTCGCCCATTTTTTGGCGTTTGATGAATACCTGATAAACTGTGCAACGTAGGATTTCTCACTTAAAATCAATCTTAAAGTGCAGTTGAGAACGGCCAGGAGAGACCAAAACTTACAAATTATTACTTTAGCCCACTGTAATAAGCTTCGTTGATATTCTCAGGCACTAGATAACTTCATTGATAGGTTATGTATTTATTTTATAAACTTAATATACTGCTAACGTATTGGAGGATGGGATACAATAACATTTAAAAAGGTACACAACACAGGAAGGTATACACCGAATAAATCCAATTACACTGCTACTATACAAGAAAAAAAGAAGCAGAACTTGTCGCCGGAAGACCAATGCAACAATTTTTTCTCCAATGCTTCAGGAGAAGATACTTTAATTACAACACTCAGAAGTTATCACTTCGTCTTCAATGGTCTTCCCCATAAAAAAAATTACTAAATACAAAAATTGGCGAGATATGGGTGAAATTATAATTCGCCTACACCACCTTCAAGGGGTCTTAAACAACTGTGCATCTCAACACGAACGTGATTAAAATACAGCAGAGAAATGTGTTTCATCGCGCTATTTTACACTTTAACGATAAGAAAGACATCCGGTCTTCTCTTGAATGCCGAAATAGACTCGTGTCTATTGAATATAGAAAAAAAAATAAACCCGGCTGCAAGTCTTTGCATTCGCTTTACTTTATTACCTTGAGGTTAGGTAGTTGCAGGGATGGGCAGTATTTCAATTACAAGTATTTAAAATACGTATTTCAAATACTTTGTGTATTTTGCATTTCTATTTAATTACAAATTGGGTAATGTACTTGACGTGTGTATTTAAATACTAAAACGTGGGTATTTCAAATACAATTGTAATTAAATACAATTTTGTGGGCGAAAATACATTTCTCAAATTTATTGCCTCTGTCCAGAGCAGGAAGAAAACTACGTTCTGCACCGAATGCAGTGTCTAAATATCAAGCACAAGCGTTTAGT